AGGAAAAATGGGTGTTCAGAGCACCGGAACACTCATATTTCACTTAACTGCAGCTCTTTAAAGCAGTTGTATCTCTTCCCAGCTGTCACCTGTGGTTGCAGTGTGATTCTAGAACAGGGGTCCTCAAACTTGGCAGCTTTAAGACTTGTGAACTTCAACTCCCAGAATTCTCCAGCCAGCTATGCTATGCTGGCTGGAGAATTGTGGGAGTTGAAGTCCACAAGTCTTAAAGCTGCCAAGTTTGAGGACCCCTGTTCTAGAAAATGATGTATGTATTTTAAAAAGATAGACATGCTATATATTTAGTCCTATATGCCCCCTTTCACATTCAAAGCACTGCATGTCCCTATAAAGATCTGGAAGGTGGCCGGTTAGTGCCAAACCATTTTCAATGCCTTCAAAGCATCCGACAGGAGCCAGTTTGGTGAAGTGGTTAAGGCACCAGGAGACTCTGAGTTTTAGTCTAGTTTTAGTTCTCAGCCCCGGGAAAAGGCAATGACAATGATCACTTCTAAAAATCTTGCCAATAGATTGTTCAGGAATCAAGGCTGATTTAAGGCATGCGTACATAAAAATGCATCATATTACCTTTGAAACCATACTACATGGTTTCTCATTTGAGGCCCAATGCAAAATGAAGTTCCTGTTCTAGACTGTGAACCATGGGAGAAAAAGTTCCCCAGTAATAGATTGGGCTTTTTTTCAATGCAAATTTTTAGCACTGACTCTGCGGGATAATCCAGATGAAGGCTATAGTGGAGGAAAAAAATTAAAGCTTGTTTGTCACGTTCTAATAAACTAATATTAGTTTGCATAACGTTCCCATGCTGGTAAATTACGAATGGAAATGCTTGAATTCATATAGCAATAGCACTTAGCACTTAGACTTATATACCGTTTTACAGTGCTTTACAGACTTCTCTAAGCGGTTTTACAGAGTCAACATATTGCCTCCAAACAATCTGGGTCCTCATTTTACCCACCTCGGAAGGATGGAAGGCTGAGTTAATCTTGAACCTGGTGAGATTTGAACTGCCAGATTTCAGGCAGCCAGCAGTCAGCAGTAGTAGCCTACAGTACTGCACTCTAACCACTGTGCCACCGCACCTCAATTATAATTATATAATTAATATGTGTTACTTAGCGCTAAGCTATATCCATCACCAAAGCACTTTCCATTAATCAATACGATTCATTTGGAGATATTCCGTATAATAGTCCCAGTTATATTGTTTCTTGGAAATGGCATCTTTATTGATATTTGTATCACCAAAAACTTAAGATAAAACAAATGGGTCTTCTATTTCAATATTTAATATTCTGCTTCTCTACATTTGATATTAGTAGTTAATTTCATCTTTCAGTTAAACAAAAGGGCTATTTTATTCTGAGTCATATTCTTAATCTGAAGCAAAGGATTAACTGAAAGGATTGCTATCAAAAACCCAGCCAGTGTTATCAGCTTAAGTGAGTCATGTATATAAAATCCTAATGTGCTTTTAAATAGGAAGCTATAAATGGGAGAGATGGGGAAACGAGATGTAAGAATATGTTACTTGGAAAAGGACATAGGAAAAATTGGAAAAGATAATTGCACATAGGGCCATCGAAAAAGACTATGCAACTTGGAAAGAATTGAATAATTGTGCAGTAATTTAAAAATAATTCTTTGTTCTTTCTCAGAAGGGGGGAAAAAAACCAAGAAAGCTGATTCCAATTTAAAAATTAACCTTGATTTTTGTTTTACCTGTTAAAATTATTTACAAAGGATATATATACTAACTAACTGGTAATCTAAGGTTCATATCTGCTCAAGAATCAGTAAATAAGGCTAAGCTGTTTTACCTGTATGTGTCATCTAGGCCAGGGGTGGGCAAATGTGGCCCTTTTACAACCTGTGGACTTAAATTCCCAGAATTCCTGAGACAGCCAAGCTGTCTCAGGGAGTTGAAATTCACAGGTTTTAAAAGGGCCACATTTGCCCACCCCTGATCTAGGCTGATGCAATGTTGGTCAGGTCAGAACTAAGAATTGTTCATGTATGTATATCCTAATCTCTTAATCCATTTTCATCTAATAATCTAAAACGTGTGAGTAAACCATTATATTAACAGTGTTCACCCTTGTTCATTTCTTAATAAACTGAAGATAGTAGACTTTAATAGATTTTTTTAAGAAATCCCCCCCCCCAAATCTCATACATCATCACACAAGGTTTTCATAGAAATGTACATGTGAGATTATCTATCCATTTCTTCTCACTCATTGCAGTGAGTTCTGCAATGAGAATGTGCTATAATATTGTAATGGAATAGAATTCATTATTTAACTTTATTTACCAGGCTTATATAGCAATAGCACTTAGACTTATATACCACTTCACAGTACTTTAGAGCCATCTCTTAAGCGGTTTACAGAATCAGCATATTACCCTCAACAATCTGGGTCCAGGATGGAAAGCTGCGTCAACTTTGAGCCAGTGAGAATCGAACTGCTGGCAGTCAGCAGAATTAGCCTGCAATACTCCTTTCTAACCACTGTGCCACCACGGCTCTTCGATATGGCAGTCCAACAAGCAATTTAAATTGAATAGTTTATGACCTAAGGCAGTGCTTAACTGTTCTTGCCATTAGATGGATTCCTCTGAAGTTCAGCCAAATTCTGATTTTCTGGGACTCCAGTCATAGGTTCTACCTTCCAGAACATCAAATTCTAACTTTTTAAAAAGCTGCTTTGTTTTATAACTGCTGAATATCTGACAAGTCTGCCAGTGCTGTTGATACAAGTTGAAGACATTAAGAAATGCTTCGACCATTCAGACTTTATGAAAACAAATCACTATTTTTCCAGCCCTTGAACACTTAAAAATGGGATTTTTTTAAAAAAAAAAATGGCTAGATCATTGAGATGTAAAAAAAAAAATCCAAAAGAAGGTAGAAGCAGAACACTTCTTTATTGCTGTCAAGAAAACAACATGAATGGGTTCAAGTAGTCATCATGAGTTGAGCAAAGGACTTAATGGAAAATAAAATTATCAGAATTTGTTGCAGAAATCACATCCGGAAAGCAGACACAGATAACTGATTCAGCAGGATTCATTCACTTCTCTTTATATACATAATAACACATACAATACCAACAGTAGATTCTTCCAACTTGAAAGAGAGTTACAAACAAAAAGCACAGGCAGGGGAGAGAACAGCAGAGATGAGTTTCAGTTTCAATTCAGAGAGCCGACTAGTTTGCAGCTTCAGAGCTCAGAGCTTAATACAGACAAAGAGAACTTCCTCTATACAGGGCAGTTAATCTAGGCTCCTTCCAGTTTCAGTTTCCAAACAGTCCTCATTGGTTGACTTATTCTTATGCCTATTCATTGGCTGACTTTGTTACTGTCTCTGTCAGTCATGAATTCCCTGACAAAAATCTGTGTGTCCTAGATTCCTATGATGTGTCCAGATGTAAAAGATACAGATAATTTGCTGGTACTTTTTTTAAGGGTAGAAATACGCATTGTCCCATTATTTTCATTATTAATTTTTTTTTGTATTTTATATTCTGACAAACTAATAAAATTTTGAAAACTAAAAACCCCAAAAGAATAAACCATTCTTTTTGTCAAGGAATTTACGTCAGGTAAAGTAAACACGAAAGACTCTATGTTGAATAGAAGGTTCCTTGGAAGCAAGTGACAATTTAACTCAACTATTTTGGCGGAGGTTTTTTTTATTTTCAACTTATTTTTCATCCTTTATTATCTTTAAGGGAGATACATTTCGACCAAATATATGAAAAAAAAAATTATGACCCTGTTCACCTGTCCTATCTAACAAATTTGTGAAACAACAATAATGCAAATTATAAATGGAAAAAGATACCAATAAGGCTTAAGACTACCATCTTGCCTGCCTAACGCAATGAATTTACTCATGACAATAAGTGGGTGGATGAATGAAGAGGTACCCTATTTTCTCGAAAATACGACATCCCCTGATAAAAAGACCAATTAGGCTTTAGAGCGCATGCGCTAAAATAAGCCTCCCTCCGAAAATAAGCCCTCCCCGAAAACATTTAAATGCAGAGCTGGAAATCAGGTAAGACAGCAAGAGGAGCCCCGTCTTGCTCCATGTGCCCCAAAATAATAAGACCTCCCCAAAAATAAGGCCAAGCACTTATTTTGGAGTTCAAAAAAATATAAGATAGGGTCTTATTTTTGGGGAAACATGGTATATAGAAGCATATTTTATGACAACTTTTTTTTTCCTCAGATTATATATGCTTGTATATTGGTGAAAGATTTTAATTTACTTGCATTACCAGTTGAGTAACAGATTAATTAATAAGTTTAAGATACACGCTTTCAATACTGCAGCAGCAGACCATTGCACAGAAACAGATGGATGAATGGATGGATGGATGGATGGAAGGAAGGAAGGAAAGAAAGAAAAGAAAAAGAAAAAGAAAAAGAAAAAGAAAGAAAGAAAGAAAGAAAGAAAGAAAGAAAGAAAGAAAGAAAGAAAGAAAGAAAGAAGTTAAACAATATCCAGAGATTAGGAAATGGTCTTTCTGAAGACCTTTGTTTGCATAGTTGATAAGTATGAGTATGTTGATTTATATGCTACAGTAAGCATTACCTAAAATTGAGGCTGAACAGCTTAGTATCCATCAGATATTTTGGGCTTCAGTTCACATCAGCAAGCAAGATTTGTGAAACAGTTTGGACCCTTGATCTTAATCCGCTCCTATTCAAATCAAAAGCCTACCTTATCTAGTATTGCATATTTAATAAACTGAACAATATTTAAACAATTGACAGGGTTGTGTGTTTGTGTGTGAGTGTGCATGGGTGTAGTAGGGAGAGAAGAGAAACCACAGTCTGGTTAATGACTATAAATTTTAACTACTTGCCAACATTATAAGAAAAGGGATATTGATTAAATAGTCTTGTGATTCACAAAATGCAAGGACTACGTCACTTAGTGTATTGTTTCATTTTCTTTTAGGTTACTCAATACTTCAAGCTATTATGGAAACAGCAGGAGAAAAAAAGCTGGCAAGTTAGCGCCATATGTGTGGAGAATTTTAACGATGCAAGTTACAGGCAGCTTTTAGAAGATTTGGACCGAAGACAAGAAAAGAAATTCGTAATAGATTGCGAAATAGAGAGGCTTCAAAATCTCTTAGAACAGGTAATGCTTTTAATGCCACACATCAGCGTTGCTTTAGAAGTGGACTCTCTTTCCGGTCTTTTATTCTTTCCTGTCTGTCAAGAGGGCATTTTTCTCATCTCTTCTCATTTTATACATAATCTGCTAATTAGTATCAATAATTGCCTCCATTTTTACTATAAATGGGAAATTCCAATAAAACACTGTTCAGATTCACCCAGGAGGCAGCATATTCTAGGACTTAATGAAATATAATGGTGAAAGACTTATTGCCTTAGATGTGGATGAATATTAGTCACATATAAAGAAGGGACACAATTCTTCAAACAAAGGAGTCTTCAGAGAGACTCCCTTCAAAAACTCTTTTGATAAATCTCTCTCACTCACACAAACACATTTATTAACATTAAGATTTTAACTTCCAGAGAAACATACATTTATTCAGTCAATACACTTGAAATCTGGTTAAAGAAATGCATCTGCTATTGCCACTAAAAGTTTGGCTTTTCTTTGGAGGATACAATAAGGAAAGCACCAATATTTACTTCCAATGAAGATAGAAATCAGCATCACTAATAAATCGTACTGCAACACTAATTTATTGACAGAACAGATTGCCATACTGTAGCTATAGTTTGGAAGATAGTAGTGGGCAGATATGCTAATGGTCCCATTGAAATATGCAATATGAAATTATAGGATTGTTAAATCAGGGCAGACATACAATCATACAGAATAAGAGAGTAGAATGGGAGGTTCTCAGCAAGAGATCCTATACAATGTCAGACAAATTGCTGTCCAATCGCTATTATTTTTATTACAGAGCCATTTTGGTTCACCACATTAGAAATCAGAAGACTTTGAGTTCCAGTCGTGTTGATACAAAGCCATTTGGGTGATGTTGGGTCAGCCATTCTCTCCCAGCCCTAGAAAGGAGGCAATGGCAAATTAGTTCCAAAATCTTGCCAAGAAAACTGCAGGCAGACTAGGAGTGAACACAGACTTAAAGGCACCAGATATACATACATATACACATACACACATGCACGCACGGTTAAAAATGCATCTTCTTCATTATTTGTTTGCAACACTTTTTCCTAAGTATTCTTCATTAATCAATAACCAGTGAATCTTCACTTTGTGTATGCTAACTGCAACATATCACAATCTCTATGGTTTGTTTGTTATGAAACACAAACATTGGGAAAGGCATATAAACTCCATTTATTCATTCATTCAAATTATTTTTATCATGTCTTCCTCTAAAAAGATTCCCAGAGCAGCTTACAAAAAATAATAAAACTAATTTTTCCTTTAGTTAATAATTTAAAAGACACAACAGGGATTGGGAAGAGAGAAGGAACATAGTGATTCTGACCTTGCCTGTACTGCTGAAACAGTACAGGCTGAGGGTCAATATAATCCCATATTACATTTTCAGTCTGATGTTTCAAGAAAGCATGTAAGGGTTTATTTATTTATTTAACATATGGCATATACATGGACTAGCAATATAAATTAGCATTTCAACTAGATTAGTAGAACTCAATAAAATATAAATTGTCAAAAAGATCTATGTTCAAATATCAATGTCTAGGCCATGTAACTATTGGAGCATGGCATTGTTTATATTAAAAAAAAATCAGATACTGGACTGGTATATGTTCTTAATTTACAGCCGGTCATAATACGATCTACAGTTTGACATGGGATCCCACAGTCACACTGAGGGGAGGATACTATGCTCTATTTATGCAGAGAGTCCCAGCAGACACCATGTGATGTGCAAATCCTATTCAGAATTATCCATTGATGACATGGTTCAGGCACCTTTTTTTAGGGTCATTTATAAGTCTTCCTATAACTGGGCGTATTCCATAGGGAATTGATGTTAAAGTTGTTGGGAAGATGCTATGCAAGTACCACTGGAGGCTTCCTGGATTTGAGTCTTCCTGCTGATAAATGAGGAAGGTCGACATGCATCCCTAGGAGTGAGTTGTTCATCATTTTTCTGTTTCCAATTCCTCATAAAGCTGGTGGTGCTATACTGCTCAGAACAGGAAGCTAGCAAGTTGGAGTGATTTTAATATATCCTCATGGTGTTGTTGAGTCTAGTATCTAACTTATTAGTATGGCATCTGTTAAGCCTGTGATGGCGAACCTATGGCACGCATGCCGAAGGGGCACACAGAGCCATCTCTCCGGGCATGCCAGCTGTCACCCGTTGCTTTTCCGGGTTCCATGCGCGCTGGCCAGCTGGTCTTTGCACGCACAGAAGCACTGGAAACCGGAAGAACAGCTCCCTGATGTGCATGCGCACGCGGGGAAGCTGAGCTTCCGGTTTCCAGCATGAGCGCTGGCCAGCTGGTCTTCGCACATGTATGTGTGTCAGAAAGACCAGGTGACCGGTGCGCATGCACATGCCGGAAACCAGAAGCTCAGCTTCCCGTTGTGAGCATGGGCGCCAGGGAACTGCTCTTCTGATTTCCGGCGCTCCCATACATGCGTGCCGGGGAGATGTTCTTCCAGTTTCCAGTGCTCCCCCATGCGTGCATGCATGCTCCTGTTTCGGCACTCAGTGCCGAAAAGGTTCACCAACACTATGTTAAGCCATACAGGGACACAATATTGTGTTGCAGAGTAGATCAACCCTAAGGCTGAGGGTGGCAGCTGAAGCTTCCCATTTAGTTCCACATAATTTCTGAGTATGTTGCTGCTAGTATTTATTTTTGCTGCTTTATTTTTTAGGTGTTTCTTGTAGGAAAGAGTCCCTTCCAACATTACTCCAAGGTACTTTGAATGGGGATCATAGGGGAGTAAGTTGTTGTTTAAGTAGACCTTTTGGGGCTTCATATTCTAGTTTGTGGTTCATATGCTAGTTTGTTGTTTGTATGCTAGTTTGTTGTTAAGCACGTAGTTGCTGGTGCTAGGAGTGAGCCTCCAAGCAGTGAAGAATTTTCCCAAGATTTTAAGATCTTTGGATAGGAGGCTGTCAGCCAACTCCATGTGTTTTTCTTGTACTGCTATGGTTATAATTTAGAATAGACTTCTTTATTGGCCAAGTGTGATTGGACACACAAGGAATTTGTCTTTGGAGAATAAAATACATTCATCGAAAATAAAAAGATACAACACTTAGTGATAGTCAAGGTTACTAATAAGCTATCAAATCGTACTAGGAAACAAATAAAAACAATATAAATTGAAAGATATAAACAACATGGTTATAGTAATAAGTGGGAAGAAATAGATACTAGTAAGGAAGAGAAGAATAATAGTAATACAATCTTAGTAATTTATTTGACAGTGTTGTGGGAATTAGTCTTTAAACAGAGTGATGGCGTTTGGGAAAAAAGTGTCCTTGTGTCTAGTTGTTCTGGTGTGCAGTGCTGTATAGCGTCGTTTTGAGGATAGAAGTTGAAACAATTTATGTCCAGGATGTGAGGGATCTGTAGACATTTTCACAGCCCTCTTTTTGACTTATGCAGTATACAGATCCTCAATGGAAGGCAGGTTGGTAGCAATTGTTTTCTGCAGTACTAATTATCCTCTGAAGTCTGTGTCTGTCTTATTTGGTTGCAGAGCCAAACCAGACAGTTATGGAGGTGCAGATGACAGACTCAATAATTCCTCTGTAGAACTGAATCAGCAGCTCTTTGGGCAGTTTGAGCTTTAATCCTTCCTTAGCATACAACCTGCAACAACCACAAAAATACATCTGAAAATGAAGCTTCCATTCCCTGTTGACAGATATATATTTTTTCTCGAAGTCATCTAAACTACTGACTTTCAGTTCCTTTTGTGGCAATGAGTTCACAAATAAAAAAAATTATGCATCGTATAAAAAGAAATTTCACCCTTTGTCTCAATAATATTGCAGACTCTTGGATGATCCCAGGTTCTAGTCTAGAAGAACAGGACAAGCAAGTTATTTCAAACTATATTTTTATTATCTGCAGACTTTATGTAGCTTTTGTGCTGGCATGACAATCTTTTTGCAATACGACAAGTAGAATATTCTAGGGCTTGAGACTTGGCCTTTGAAGGTGAAAAAGTTGCTTCCGGGGACATAGGGTTGTTATGTAGAAACTGTCAGAAGCTCTTTAAAACAGCTGCATCTCTGATCAAGATGGATTAGCTTAAGGGGCTGCCAATGCTTTGAAACACCTTCTCTTAAATCTGAAGGATGGTACAGCCTGATGACAGTCTTCATGGAGCATCATACATTTCTGTAAAAACATTATGAGTGGCAAGTTTAATTTCAGTCTCTTCCTGGCAGTTCCTAACATTGTCTTTTTCATTCAGTTGACATTTTCAGTAAGTGTTCACCTATGTCCTTCTCTACATCCATTTCCTCAGCAATCACAGCTAATTCAGACTCAGACATCACATATATTTTCTTAGAATTTCCTTGGCTTCGGTTTCCATCATTTATTCTCATTTATTCTCATTTGCCATTTTATGACCAATCCCTAATTACGGTTTTTAATAAGTTTCTGTGTTCTGTAGGTATACCAAATTCAATAAAACAGTTTCAAGCGACTTACTGAACCAGAGTGATATTGCTAATTAGTTGTTTTTTTTTAAAATGAGAAATAGATAAACATGACTCTCATTCATACTTCAAATGGATGATAGTGCCCTTCGGTTTTGCTTTTCCATTTATTTCCTTTATTGATCAATACTTTTACATAAGGGGTGTAAATCCCATCAAATTCATAGGATTGCAGTGTTATCTACTTTTCAGATGCGGTAGAAGGGAAGGAACATTCAGTCTGGGCTATCATCTTCTCTTTCAGTTTGATTTAATATCAAGCATTTTGGATATTTACAATCTCTTTTTATTCTGGGAAGCAAATTAAGAAGGCCAATAGCTTTGTAGTCTTCACTGTGTTTTCATGTACACTCATACTTATCTATCACACCGTTCTCTTTCCTGGCCAGCAATGTTACAAAATTTTGCAAAAACCAGAAAAGGAATAAGAAATAATAAGCCAAAAGAAGTAAGTCATAAGATAAGA